TAAAATATTTTTTCTTGAGATTTCAAAATATTTTTGTTTGTTATCGGATTTGTGTGCAATAATGTGTGTATAAATGGAACAAACACTTGTTTGCCATGCCCTTGGAAATGGAATATGTTTTTGGTACTAAGAAACAAATTTTATTTACTTCATACGAAATTGATCCCTGACAAAGCTTGAAGTCGAGTACAATGAAGTTAGTTTTATCTTCAGGCTGAGTAAATGTACTACGGAGTGGGGTGTTCTATCACAACGCGGAGATGGAGGAGATTTAAAGCTTTTCTGAAAGCCAAATATCGAAAAACATTAGAGCATGGTTTCAATCATAAAACTGCTTGGCTAATGAATTTTTGTTGGCTAATTAAGGTACCTTTGAGGTTATGATAGTGAAACTATATGCATAGAAGCTGCCGTGGCAAGACGTGGACTACTTCTGGACGTATAGAAGTAAAACAATTTGTATAAGACAAAATTATTTTATAGAAACAATTATTAAACTAGCAAAATGTAGATATATGTAAAATGAAATTCATAAAATGCGGTAGCATTCGCATCTAAAAATTTAGGATAATGTAGTTCATCTTTCAAAATTTAATAGATCACCGCTAAGAACTAAATTTTAGAGTCTGATTCCTGATTGAAATGTGTTAAATACACTTAAATTTGCTACTTATTTATACATGCATATGTACATATGTATGTAATAGGGTGGCACTTAAAACATACAACATACATAGTTTTTTTTTAACACCCCTTTATTTTGTTCTACTTACAAAATAAAGTCGTCCACGAAAATTTTAAAATCTGAAACAAAAACAAAAAAAAAAATCGCCAAAGTTTTATAAATTTTCTTTGTTTGGTGCATATAAATGTTTTATCTAATTTATAGCTGGTCAAAATGCAAATTTTGTCGAATTTTTCAAATTTTCTTGTAATTGTAAAATTGTTTAACCTTTAGAAATTTTCGCTGATCACAAAAATTGCATAATTTTTTTTATTCATATAAAAAAAGAAATTCGCTGATTCACAGCTGCCCAAAGAAAAAATTTTGTAGAATGTTTGATTTTTTTTTTATTTTAGATTTTTAAGTTTTTGTTTTAATTTTGAAATTTTCGCAGATGCCTCGTTTGCACGGAGTGTAGATTGAGAGCGTCACCACGATGTTGATATTTTTAAGCACCACCCTAATATGTAGGTATTATTTTTACTTTAGATTTTTCATCGCACTTATTAGAAAAAAATTGAATAATCCTTAATGATGTCGCAAATACTCGTATGTGGTTTGCCGAGCTACCGAAAGCGGCCTGCGCTTTCTATGCCTGACAGAAATTCAAATATTCTTACATAAATTTTTTTTTTAATTTTTGTAAAAGTATAAATTACAATTTTAATAAATAGTAGGTATACATATTCACTAAGGGTTTTGAGATGTCAGCACTTTCTTTAACACAGGTTGAGTGCATTTTTTAATTTTTAAAATTTTAGGGCAACAATATTTATGTGCGCGGTTTTAACTTTAACTACAATTTAATGAATAAAAAGGAACACATTTATAAAATTTTGTTTTATTTTTATAAATTTTAGGGATGCATTTTATTTTAATTCATTTATTCATGTTTTTTAATTAAGTTTGTTTGAATCATTAAATTAATAATTTTTATTTGAATCTCGTTTTAGCATGTTTTATATGTATAAGTTTTCGAATTATTTAGTTACATTTCAAAGTAGAATCAATACAACTAATTTTCTGTTAATTTAACATAATTTTTTTATTTGTTACATTTAATGCTAATTTTTATTTACGTTTCACTGTTTTACTCTGGAAAAGTTAAATATCTAAAAAATTTTCAATAAAATTTTTCACGTCCTTGGTTTAAGCGTAAATCGTTTTTGAGTATCCACGTTGTTTTGAATTTTTGTCTTAAACGCCTCATAATTTTAGGTATGTACTGACGTACGTACTTATATGTAGTACTTTTATTACTTTATTAAGTGCAAGAATTTAAATAAATGCTTTTGAAAAAGCATATTTTGCTTTCGTTTATTTTATATGCTTTTATTATTATTTTCTTTTTGTAAAATGTTCAAGCAACCAAAACCTAAATTAGCTTACATACTTGAAGTAACCAAAATGTAAAAATTTTAACAAAAGCTTCCGCTTCGAAGAAAACGTAAAAAAAAAAACAAAACATAAATTAAAATCAATGCAAATATGTCGAACATCTTGAGTACATCTGGGCTCATTATTTTTGCTAAGCGAAAAATAAGACATACTCAAGAGGTTTGCTTTCCTTAATAGTAGTTAAGCTAAATTTGCATTTACTTGTTTCAATTTCATTTTATTAATGTAATTATTAGTTAATTTTTATATTAAAATTTTAATTTATTTATAGTTACTTTGAAGGCATTTTCAAAATCTTCCCCAATAGGAGACGTACGAGGAAAAATTTCAAAAATGTGTTATGTATAATTTTGGTTAAGTTTTCTATAAGTACTACTTTAAGCAATACATTAATTTACGTATTCATTACTTATATATAACATGTAAGTAAGTGCTTAAATATGCAGCTACATACAAGTCGATTTTCGTTTCTTGCAGATAAATTTGATACATATTTTTTTTTTATAATGCCAACTATTTCTTACGTACAAACTTATTTGGGACCTTAAAATTAAATAAACAATATAGACAGTTCATAATAAATTATGATGGATAACTTTTAAAATGCACGCAATCAGAGCAAGTTGGTTGGAGCAAATGCGCTCGATTTAGTCGCCGTTACACAATTTGCTATAAAAAAAGAATTAAATGAAAATAAATAAAACTTTTGCTAAATGTTTGGCCGAGCTTCTCCTCCAATTGATGGTGTGCGGCTCGATGTTGTTACACAGTAGGATGAACTTACAATTTTACGCCGCTTTTGAATGCCAAATGGATTTTAAAGTAGACTCTTTCAAGGCAGAAATAATCTCGGATGCCTGCCATTGCCTGCCTAGGGACGATCGTTGTTTTTAATTTGTTTTTAATTTTAGAAATTGCTCGAACCAGGGATCGAACTCAGACTCTACTGAATGATAGTACGCACCTCTAACCATTCAACTACAGCCAATAAATAATTTGCTAAAGTTTTACGAAATTAAAGTTACCCATGGGCGTAGGGTGGTTAGTCCCGACGGTACGTGAGACTTATCATCATTGAAACGTAGCCAGAAAAGAAGAGTCGGGGTGGTTATGCTACTCGCAGACAATGTGAAAATGATTTGCGTTTGGAACACAGGACCTCCAAAGCATTGGCAGCATTTTGGCAATGCCAACAGGTGTTTGGCAAAACGTGGGATCTGCTAAACTTCAAAGCATAATCACCGTGTATTGCATGGGAGCTTCCTATATAACAACTGGCCCTGTTCTTGACGCACCGATGCTCTTGCGGTTTCTTTGTGACCTCATATTTGGGGAGGACTCAAAGACCACCTGAGGACTAAAAAGAAACGGATGTTATGCAGAATTCATAAACACCTACATTCCACGGTGTATTGACTGCAGGTTATTAGAAAAGTAGTGAAATTATTTTCATGTTTGTCAGAAGCCTCAGTTTGGAGTTTTTATTGCTACTTGGCAACACTGTATTTTCAGATTTATTTTATCAGATGTGAATACTAAGGGTTGATTATGTTGTCACGTAGAGAAATTCCAGGCTAATTTTTAAAGGAATGTGTGACTATTTTTTGAAAGTTATCCATCATTTCTGACATGCCGCACACACGTTCTGCAAAATTCTAGTAACTAAAAAATATATCATTTACCGAAATACAATAAAAAGAAACTTTTTCTAAGCATATCGAGCCCTAACCGCCTAAAAGACGTAAGCGACATTTTGTTCGAAATTTTATTTTTGATGCAGAAATGTATCTTAATGCTCTAGGAACATTTTTGCATCAAAGGGAAAATTTTGAAAATAATGTCGCTTACGTATTTTTGGCGGTTAGAACCCGATATGGTGAGCTACTTTGTAAAAGGGACAGTGCTGGTTTTTTGTAGGAAATGTTTGAAAAATTTATGCGATATATAACGTTAAATGAAATATTTGAAAATAAAATATAATAAAAGGCGTATTCATGTCAGGCGCTGACCACATAAAAAACTTTAGCGACGTTTTTTTAAACATTTGTTCTTTCGATGCAGAAATGCGTCCAGTTGCTTTAGAAGCACTTCTGCATCAACAAGAAAATTTTTGAAACAAATATCGCTTACGTTTGTTTGGCAGTCAGGGCTCGATATAACGTCATAAATTCCAAACAAATTGCATAAATATTTATAATTTTATCAAGTTTATCGGCAGTTTGTGATAAAGTAAACAACAACAAAAAATCTACTTAAAACTATTTTTGAAACTACATTTATAATTTATGTATCAGCTTTAACTATTATTTGAAATACTTTTAGCCTTGAATAATATTAGGAGATTCTTTTCCAATCACCACGAAGTATACCAGTGACAAACAGACAGCTATGACTGCACTGAGTTATGCATACATATCTACATTTATCGTAACTTTTCGCCATTTTTTATAGCTCCGAAATTATTTACTCAAAATGCAAATACACTTAAGGGACTGAAATGTATTTTTTACGTGCATATTTTATGTAACAAAATGTTCATTCGTTTTCTAATTCCTAATTTTACTTAAACATTTACCGAAAATGTATTTGGCTGTTTTTAAGTGATTGTTTAATGTATAGAATAATAATAATGATATTGATGATATATGTTTTGTAATGATAGTTAAACTTTAGATTGCTTATAAATTTAGAATTGTTTTATTTTGCGCGCGAAGTGTGCTTTTTGCGAAAATTCTCCAAGTTAAAATTTTTGTGTTAATTACTTAAAATTTAAAAGCGTAAAGAAACATTTATTCGGTTTTAGGTAATTATTATTATTTTTTTTTTACTTTAAATTTAATTTTCAATAAATACCTAAGAAGTTACTGAGGTACTTAGACTAAAAAAAAAATACACGTTTTAACTACATTTAAATTCGTTTTTTTTTTATATAATACTTGCGTTATGGTCAATATAAGGGGGTTTTAATTCTCTTTTTCTCGAAATTGTAAGAGTTTAGGTGAAAAACAATACAATTTATTATTTTTCTCGAAATTACAAGATTTAAATTAGTGACTTATTTTCAACGAATAGCATCTCGGTAATACTAATTTAATTTGTTGAATAAGAATTCATTAAATAATACGCGTTTATTCATCACTTAAGCTATGATTTTTGTTGGTTTGTTGGTTGGTTTTGAGTGCAAGAAGGGCTAAAAAACTCATTTCGTTAAATTAGTGTGTAGGTTTTGTGTGTAAGTGTGTGCTTAGCAGGCATATATCGTATGGAGCTCGTTTAAGCACATCAGAAAAATTTACTTAACATTCTGATTCTTTGTTGTTTCGCACTTTAGTGTACTTCACAGAATCTTTAAACTTATCTTTACTAAAAATATGATTGTTTTATGCATAGTTTGCTTGTTTTAATTTAATACTTCAATCGTTTTCCTCTTAACTTTAATCACTTATACTTAAGCATTTTAAATTAATTTTTCAACTTAAATGTTGAAAGCTGCCTCAAAATCGTTAAGAACGTTAGTTCGCTCCATGCAAGGGGTTATTCGTTCAGCACTGCAGTAATCCCATCTAGGCTATTTTGTTCAGGCTTTTCATTCTACATATTTATTTAATTTTCGTATTATTTTAAATTCACGCTTATATTTTTGATTGCTTGGCCAACCTAGAAAATACAGAAGAGGATTAAAAAATTTAATTCATTTACTTCATTTGCTGTTACTCAAAATATCGCTTCATCAAGTTGAATTCACCCCACTTACCTTTACTCATCTCCCATGCCTGCTCTCTCTCTCTCTCTCTCTGTCCATCTCTTTAATTCTCGCTCATGTCTTTGATTGCTTGCAATATACGCTTAACATGTCCCACTTTTACAACACCCAAATCTTTGAGATCTCTACGTCCGAGCGTAAGTAGTTCTTTGCCGCGTATATCGTTCTTTAGGAAACTATCCACATATTCGGATAGCTGCATCGTCTCAAGCCATGTGACCACTTCGTTAACGCTCCAATTGCTAACGGCTTCGCGTGTATTTGTCAGCTGCGGTTTGAGTTGTGTTTGGCCAACTGTAGATCCGGAACGTAAACGCACCCAGAAGGGACGTGATTTGCGTCGGCCATCGCCCTGGAGAAGAAAAAAGTGCAAAAATGAATAATGGTAAAAATAGTACTTTGAACAATTGAAACTGAAGAAATCAAAAAGTAGTTTTTAAGCAAAAAACAAAACTTCGATTCTCATACACGAATTTAAGATTATCGGATGATCGGACTCAAACCAAATTAATATGGGACAACCTGTGAGATAACACCTTTCCTTAAAAAAAAATTTTGGAAATTGGTTAACGTGGTCCAAAGTTATGCGGTAACACACATAAAAAAAATATTCAGACGAATTTATAACCTTCTCCTTTTTGTGTAGTCGATTAATAACAAATTTTTGGAAAAGCAGCGTTTCTAAGATATATTTTAGGTAAGTATTCTTCAGTAGCTCAACAAACTTACCTAAATGTACCCCTTACCTAACGTAATTTAAAATAATCTCCAGGCAAACGCAGTCAATTCTGATTGGAAGCAACTACGCAGTCCTCTGGATTGCGGTTGTAAACGACCTTCTAGAGAAACTGAAAAAATGGGCTGTCGGGTGATTGCCTATATAGATGATGTGGAACTTTTAGTTAAAGGACGATTTCTACACACCCTTTTTGATCTGGTTCAAGGTTACCTGAACCAGGTAACTAGGTGGGCAATCAACGGCGGCTGTCGTGGAAGCCTAACATTGGGGTAAGGTAGAAAAGGCGTCGATTGCCTTGTACTGCTGTAGGGGAGGTATCGGTAAAAGGTGAGCACTCTCGCCCAAATTAACTCATTAGCTCTAGGAAACCAGATTTAAGCCTATATAGTTTCAAGGAGCCCTTGTCTGGTGGAACTCAGTAGAGAAGGATACACTTGTAAAATAGGAACTAGAGGAGCATTAGGAAGCACACCTACACTGGGGCAGCACGAACTGCTATTGGCCTAAGGGAAACCGAGTCCGTTTGTGCCATAAAAAGGAAAAGAAGACGTTTATCTGCTGCAGCAAATGTTTTTATAGGGCACTTTAAAACACATTACCTCTCCAGGGCTAGTGATGGGGGTTCTGACAGGCCATTGTGCGATTGGTATTCATGCGGTGAGACTATGAATTTCAACTGATCCTCGCACTTTTGAACAAACACCGAACTCTCAGAGATCGAAATTAGCCGCATTTGAAATTTCGTAATCGGCTCGCGGCGTTAACTTAACCCAACGTAACTTGTACTTCTTTGAGCTTTGAAATAGTTGGTCACATTAGTTATACACATAGAAGAATAGAGAAAAATGAAGATTTCAAAGATCAATAAAAGGAGTATCTGTTTATGAGCAGCGTTGCCGTTTTGATACAATTGTATCATTTTTGATACTTTTTTTTCTAAATTTTAAGATTTGATACTTTTTTGTTCACAAATGCTCCATATTGATACTTTTGGCTGGCGGAAATGAATTTTTGAAAACTATGAATTACACTACTAGTATAAAGGAAAATACTTTTTTTCTTGTTGTTTAAAGTCTCAATATTGTATATGCAGATATTTATAAGTTTTATTTGGTTATTTTGTGAGGGAAATACAACCCTGAATTTCTTTGCATACGCTGATGTTATAAGGCCCCCGAATCACACAAAAACATTGCGCAATATGGGGCTTGCGTCGGTCGTTTGGGTGGTGTATGGGGTTGCTTGTACTAAATTAGTTACACAGTTATTGCGCTAAAATCAATATCATTTTGATATATTGCTCATGTTTGTGTTATTGTACAATAATTTGTGTTGCGTATGGCGACAACTGCGAAATTTTTAGTCTAGTTTTGATTTTGGTGTCCAGATTATGCTGTAAAATATGGATTAGAGCGTAGAAAAAACAAAAATTTTTTGATATTATTATTTTTTTTTGCGTTTTAAAGCTGATGTTATCAAAATATACAACGCATATTCATATGTATTTATTGCACATGTTTATGAGTAATGCAAATTAAAAAATAAATAAATCCAAAAAAATTAGTTTGAAACAAAAAATTCAGACCTCTGATAAACTTTTGTCCCTTAACAAAAATATGGCCATATTTTAGCAATTCTGACCTCATTTTAAATAAAAGTTGTTATGTTTAATTTTTGGACTTTTCTAATCAATACTATCTATAGTACAATGGAGAGTGTCGACATTTTCGATAGTATCGACATTATCGATGGTTGTGACTATCACCTATGGGAAATATCGATGGCCACGACCATCGATAGTTTTCCAGCTCTATAATTTAATATTTCCCTAACTGTGGACTTGCTGTTGCTCTTGTACAGACAGAGCTAGTTATTGTAGCTAGTAATCACCTCGAGTGGCTGCTAATTTTTGTTACTAGCTTAGAAAAATAGAAAATAATAATAATATTTTGGCGCCTACATTTTTGCCAAGTATTTGGCGGAGCTTCTCCTCCAAATTTATAGTGTGCATCTTTATGCGGTTAACCAGATGGAGCAGCTGGTAGTTTTACGCCTAATCCGAACGGCAAACGGATTTTATGGGAAGCCTTTTCATGGCAGAAATACACTCCAAAGTTTGACATCAACTGCCGAGGGGCGACCGTTTTTAAAACAAACGTTTTCTAACATAGACGTTGCTTGGAACAGGGACTTAGCCCAGGCCCTGTGTAGTGGTAGTATGCACCTCTAACCACTCGAACTTGATCAAAGATTGCCTGACTATTTTCAAGGACTGAGGAGTCAAAAGATATACTTAACTAATTTACTCCTGCCCACTCAGAGGCCCTAGCTTGGGTCTGCATTGATCCTTAGCCCACGAAAAACCGAAAATGTTGGTCGCAGAAGATAGATACAGAGATTTAGTGAGATAGCCTTCGGGGCAAAATTATTTCGAGCCCGCATTATTTGGGACAGTGATGTTCATATAAGCTAAAGCTAGTAGTTGTTTCATAAATATAGACTAGTCGTAAATTGCATAACAAAGTATTACGAATTACCTCTTCGTTTGGCGCCAAAGCGTTGAAGTAAGCGCGCAACTTTCCATCGATGCATTTCTGTACTGAGCACTTCTTCAACTCCATTTCCATATTCGCTAAGGCCGCACTCAATTTCAACTCAAGATCCTCACGCAATATCAGACTGTGCCCACGATCGCGCAACAAATTGCAGGCATCATCATACAATTGACGCGAGGAATCGATAACCTCCACAAGTTTGGTGCGTAGAGTGGGACCTTCCAGCAATTTACCCTGTGGATGTATCGACTCGAGAGCATCGGATGCACGGCAAGCAACAGCGTAGAGATCGTGTTGCAGAGATGGATGAGAAATAATCAGGAATTTCACCCATTTCACAAGCGAACTAACTGCTTCAATGAAATTCAAAAGTACATAACATTCGCGCTCCGACAGCACCTCATCCGTGGAGGTGGCATGCTCCGAGGCAGTTGACGACTGCTCGCGTTGTATTGATATGCTATGCTGTCGCTGCTTCTCTTGCCACGTTTTCAACGACACCTCCAAATTGCGATTGCGACATAGCATTTGTACGCGATTTTTGTGTAGAATGCGTATCATGCCAGGCGGCTGGAGCCATGCCTCACCATCAACCTGTATGGGTATTTCTTCATCGCCCAAAATATTTATTTGCACACTCTGACACTGGGCGATGCGATGATGTTGCAAATTTATGAGACGTGATGCAGCCATTTGCACAGAGCCGAAGACGGCGACAACTTCGAGTATGCGATCGTCGAAGCTGGGTGTGAGGAAGATGTCATCCTTCTTGCTGGAACCCCAGAAATTAGTACCACCCATGAAGCTGTGGAGAAGGAGGAATATCATTTTGTGGGGAGAACTTTGGTAGACGCCAAGCAACACTCACCTCGGTATATTCAAGATTACAATGCCCTGCAGGGATGGCAACGGTATGCGCTGACCATCACACTCCAATTGCACGCGTTGTTCCAAATTCTTACAGGTCTTCTGCAACAATTGCTTCGATCCCAAAACGCCATACCACATGTAGTTCTTGGCCCGCGAACGGCACTTTTCTGGATGTTCCTCGCGTTTATTATGGAAATCCAGTGAGATTTTAGCATCAATGCCAATGCCGAAGTAGTTATTCATCACACATTTCTCATGATACCCTGCCAGCAAGGTTTCATCGGGGTCCATAAGTGGACTTACGGCAGCACAAAGTGTATCTGCATTGGCTAGTAGGCACTTGGAGATGAAGCCAGTGCCATTCGCAAGTGCTGGAAGTAGTGAGCGTAAAAGTATTAGCAATTAGCATTAAAATTGTATTTGAACCTTAGAAGCTTTTCAGTTGCGATACTCACTTGGCCAATTTGGCAGTCGTACAAGTGGATTGATAATCGGCATTTTCCTAACGCCTTCTTCACCTGCACACTTCTCTCTATCCTTGTTGCCCTTGTCGTCGCGATCTTTGTCACCACTTGTGCCACTGACACCGCCAGCACCGAAATGATCGAAGCCAAAGAGCGCTGACCCCATAAAAAGGCTAGATTTGGAGCCTCTCAATGTCTGCAGATTTGGTAGCGCTTCATTGGGCTGCAAAGAGACGATTTTATATTTTATGTATCTCAATAGTGGAAGCAATAGAACAGCCGCTAAGTAGTGTGAAAAGTATCATCGGATAGTATTGCACTAACTACTAGTAAGTAGAGGAGGAAAGTGTTTGAGAGAGTACGGTGAGTGTAACATGTTTACAAGGGAGAGTATGAGTGAGAAAGTGGAAAAGTTATGTAAATTTTGTGTGTGTTTGTGTATTTTTGTTTAATCATTTGGCGGAAATGCTAGATCAACTGTTGTACTTGAGAGCAAAATTAATTTCATTAGCATTACAAGTATTTATTGTATGAAGTGAAGAAGCAGCAGAAAGAAACATAGAAGACATAAGAGCACAAATGTTAACTCATAGTTGTAGACGAGACGAGAAGCACAGAAGAAATCAACTGGAAAGACATTTACAAAGAGTACTTAGGATGAGAATGGGGATAGCGGAATCGAGTAAACAAAGCAACACCATAGAGCTTATAAGTACGTATGTATTTATGTATTTGTAATAAGTACATTATGTACAATGAAATGAAAAGTGAAAGCAGGAATATAAACACTCTCGTAATTAATGGAGATCAGCCTCGGTGCTCGCGGAATATGATCAGTGTAAGTTATTTTTACTTTATTGAAATATAGATCTAAAATACCTGGTGATTGTTAAGTACCTAAGAGTGCCTCGTAATATTACCTTTCAAATATATTGTGTTATTCTCAAAGATGTGTTTTTGCGTTCGTTATTTGAATATTTGGTTGGCAACCGTTGAGAGATGTTTTCAAAGGAAAATCAGTTTTAATTTTTCCGTTTAAGGTAATGTATGCCCCACGCCCACTGGGTTTTTGTTCTAGTAAGCTTAATAGCTTTCATATAGTATGTATACCAAAATATAAACACTACCTGCAAAAAGTATTGGCACAGCAGCTTTTTTACAAAATATGCAACAATTTTGATTGTAATATTTTCCGGCATTCTTTTTATAAATATATGGTACATTCCATAACAAAAAATATAAAAATATAATATCTAAACTTTGTGCAAAACTTGCGAAAATTCGGAAAATTTTCATGAAAATTTTTATTAAGATTTTTTAGATTTTTTTTTTGAGTATGTAGATTTGTAGCCCATTAAATGCTAGCATACAAAATGCACGTTCGCAGATAGTCAAAAATTGCATTGATTTTTGAGAATTTTCTGTTTTTGTATTTTTCGAAAATTTTATTTTTGTATGGAAGAGACTACGGGAAAACAATTGCCAAAAATCAACGGTAATTCGTAGTTACTTAGAACTTTTACTTTATTACAATAAAATTTATTGGGCTAAAAATCCTTATACCTGCTATCTGCTGAATTTTCACGAGTTTTGCCCAAAGTTTAGAAATCATATTTTCTTTTTGTTTTTTGTTGTGGAATGAACATATTAAAAAAAAAAATTGTCGGAAAAATATGACAATAAAAATTGTTGCATATAATGTAAAAAGCATCTGTGCCAATACTTTTTGCCGGCAGTGTAATTTTTATAAATTGTTATATATCGATTTCATTTGTTTTACTTGTTTTATTGTGTGACTCATATGTGACTCATGGACGTAAGACGATACAGTTTCTTCAGCACCATGCATCTTAACGTCAATTAGATGAGGAAAATCCATATGAAAATAATTGCGTCGGGCTTTGCATCTGTCAACCTGTTTCCTTCTGGCATACGTAAATTTTATGCGATAGAGAGAGATAAGCATACAAGCCAAACGCTCAACATGCTAATTTACTCGATAGCTATAATGAAAGTAACTGGACGTAGTGAACTAAATACCTAATGGATCTTTAAATTAATGCGAATGGTTATAATGCTAGGGGTGGCAGGTAACGAATGGAAGATCTAAAATCCACAGATGCTTACGATTTCTTACGTTCTGCACGTGCATTGTAACTCAGATCGCTATGGCATAAAAATATTTATGACTCCTGTTCAATAAATAGTTGCACATGGTCCTACTAAATTTATTCCGAAATATCGCATAAGTTAGACAACTACATACTTATTATACTAGCTTACCGTTGGCTGAGTACCGAAAAAGTCACAAAACTGATTGGTTTGGCAAAAGAGGTTTTAAAAGCGAAACTGGGGAAGGGAGAACAAGTATAACAAAAGGAAAATATACTTTACTGAAATTGCGTTATAAACGTGATGTGCCTACTTATGATCCCAATATGCCATGGAGATGGTATGTATAGCGGAACAACAAATAGGGATAATGTATTCAAACCAGATGCAATAATCGACTATAATGAAGCTCAGCAAAAGCATTTATATACAAGACCAACTCACTTCATTACGTTCTCTTTATGTAAATTATAACTAGGTACAACAAAAAAAGATTTGATGATTCGAGTCATCGTTATCAATACTAGATGCATATACAAGGAGCTGGCAGACGGCCCTAAGTTGACAGCCTTACAAGTCCATGAACGTCTTATCCGACATTTCCTTGGACCAGCAGCATCAACTACAGAACATAACCTCCCTCAAAGATCTTGAATATCCTCCAGTGATCCAAAATCTTTACATTCAGTTGCGTCTTACACAATAAGTTGGTAGGAAAAAGATGCGCGGGGTGCATCTATCTGGATTATTTGCTAGAAAAGCTTGGAAAGTACATACCGACCAACAAAAAATTTATAAAAAGGCATTCTGTTGGATTGCTCTAATAAGAAACATGTTTGATTTTGTCAAAATTTTCTATGATTAATTAGAGTTTAATTTATTGCAAGTTTCACTTTTTGACTAACAGACAACTTACCGGAAAAAGTCGCGAAATTTTCTTGAATTTCTTTGTACGTTAGGTTTTTTTTGCCAAACTTCCATGTATCCATTACAAAAATACCGCGTACCTTTAAAACCAAAAAATCTGCCCGTTATTGTATACAGAAATGAGTCATATGTGACTCATTGGACAGGGAAGTTGCTAGGTTGCGAACCTCGAATCTCTCGAATGGCACTCCAGAGCTCTACTCTGTCCGCCACTGCTACGCGAGCAAAATGACACACTTATTCATTTTACGGAGGACAGAAAAAAATTTCTTAATTTATTAAATACATAGTTTTCAAGAACATTTTCTTGAGTTAAACAAACGTTTTCTAATTTATTTTACTAGTTATATCATGAAAATATATTTTTGTTTATTTTCAAATTATATTTTCTTCGATTTTATTGATGAAAAGAATATTTTTTCTAAGTTCAAAAACAAGTCTCGATTTTCTTGTTACTGCTTTGGTTTAAGAAAAAAATTCTATCCGTGCGCTGGTTATCATATAGTTTATATATATCTATATTTTATGGAGAGGGAAAATATGTTTTTATTACTATTTTTTTGTGTATATAAATAGCAACAATTTTGCAATCGTTTCGAGTATTATGTGTCATCCAAATAAATCAATTTTCTACTCTATCCATATAACAGAAGTGGATTATTTTTTTAACAATCAACACACAACAATAATATGACGGAAAAAATCCTACAGGTCGGCTAAAGCTTGCTTTATCGTTAGGAATAACTCAATTTATACGCATGAGACTAATCGATTAGTAACTGCTTTGCTCAACTATTTACACCTGAGTAAAACAAATATTTAAGCGTCATAAATGGTGTCGTCAAAGATTTGTACATAAGGTTTACGGTAAAGGATTTAACGAGTATTTGGGGAGTTAATACCACATTTTCAAAGGGAATTCAGAAGTATTCGGGTAAAGATTTGGACATTTTTGATTAAACCTAAGGATGAACTGTTTGAGAAGATAGCCTAAGGTAGACGACACGCAATGCTTACCAATGGTAACTATAAGTGGTCTTATGAGAGCCAAAGTTGCTAAACGTATATCCGGCTCAGCAACCACAAAGAAACGTAAACCCAACAATCCATAAGTGCGCTTCGAAAGACATTTCGTCGAATTTTTCTTCTACAACCACACCCATAGCGAAGACAAATGCGTATGTATTTATTATCAAAAGATTTAATGGTAGTTTATAAGTGTGTATGTATGCATGTTTGTTTGCATTAAATCGTTGCTTGTTTGAATGAAGAAAAGGTGAGTGAATCATGTAAAAACTGTTTATTGTACATTGTAAGGTTGTGTGTAGGGATTCACTTTGAGTAACTAGACAGTCTGTTTATGTGATATAACAGTGTTTCAACCCTGCAGTGAAAGTTACAGTATTCCAAATTTAAGACTGTAGGCGTTCACATCTGCTTGATTAGGTTATATAGTTAAAAATTACTATTCTCTAGTGCATACGATCACATATCACCAGATAAACTGATAACCAGACAGGTGTGAACAACAAATTTTTATGATTATGGTAACAGAAATGGTAACGGTAATTTTAATGTTGTAGTGGTTATAATAATACTAGTAATAATGGTAATGTTAATGGTAATGGTAATGGTAATAGTAATGGTATTGTTAATGTAAATTGTATTGTTAATGGTAATAGTAATGGTAACGGTAATGGCAACGGTAGTGGTAATGGTAAAGGTAATTGCAATGGTAATGGCGTTAATATATAAAATGGTAATTGTATTGGTAATGGTTATGGTTATGTCAACGGTAATTTTAATGTTGGTTAATGGGAATGGTAATAGTAACGACAATGATCATGGTGGTTGTAATGGTACTGGTGACTGGTAACCTTGGCAATTATAATGGTTATAGCAATGGTAATGGTAATAGCGATGATAAAGGTAATTGTAAAAGTAATGGTAATCGCAATAAAGGTAATAATCTAATGGTAACGATTTAAACACACTTTGTTAAAAACGCTGCACCTGTTACATAATAAATGTTTGTCTAATGGTCAAGTACATACATATAAGATAAAAATTAAAAATTACAAAATCTAAGAAAACTAATAATAATACATATTCTCATCAGAATATGTTTCCGTACAGTGTTTTTTTTTAATATTTGCAAGTTTTTCGTAATACATTTTTTTTCGTTAATTTTTCAGCTTTTAACAATTTTTACTGACTCTCTTCGGTATTTTTTCTCATACAAATGAGATGCATGATAGATGCATCCGTTATATATAGAAAATGAACAAAATCTCATAAGCAAAAAAAAATCTCAAAAATCAACCGATTATAGCCATATACTGAAATTGAGTGAGCTACAAAACTGCATACTCAACAAAATTCTAAATTAAAAGTTGATAATTTTGGTGAAAATTTGTCAAATTTTCCTAAATTTTGTAAAAACTTTGAACCATTTATTTATATGGCATTTGATACAAAACTGTATACTCAAAAAGATTTTGTTTAAAACTTGAAAATTTTGGTGACAATTTGTCGAATTTTCCTAAATTTTTTAAAAAACTCTGAATCATTATTGTATGAGCCATTTGATGCAGAATGAACTATGTTTCTAACTATTAAAAAGTAACGAAAAAATTTATTTCGAAAAACATTGCAAATATTAAAAAAAAACACTATACGGAAACATATTCTGATGAGTGTACATACATAAAAAATGAATACATCCAATAAACATTGGGCTTGGTTAACAGTTCGAAAATGATTGGTAAAAAAATTCTCTTTTCAAGTCTCATCTTCGATAATGAATGTGGAATAGGTTAGTATTCGATTCGAGAGCTAGGTCTTTCTCCAGCAAAACGGAACCTTCATTAACCAATGTATTTTTCCTTCGTTAGGAATTCGAAGTCCCGCCCATTATCGAATAGAAATTTTAATGAGAGAGTTTGTGTCTTATATTTATTTTTGAGAATGAGCAGTATTTCACTTTCTCTCTTGTTACTATGGTTTTGATTTTTCTTTCGAACTCATTTTGAATATATTTCCAACATACTCAGAACGTTGCAAAACTAATAGTCTAGTTGGTGTAGTCTTAACTTAACATACGTGAGAAATAGTCAATGATTACTCAACACGTCAACTTAGCCAGAAGCGTAAATATTTTGTTTTCATATTTTCCTTTTCAGCTGATGGTCACTTGGCCTAGGCGGCCAAACCAAAACAAAAAATTCCTGGACAAAACGATATTGCTTTGGCCAGTTATGTTACTTTACGTAAATTAAATTTAGACTAACTGAACCTTAAGGTTGGTTATACGTTAGCTCTCAGTTCGATACTCATATTGGATATCGAAGGTAGTTTTTGAACGTTCGCCACAATGTTTATTGGACGGCAAAAAGATTTGCATGAAAATTAAAATTAAAAAAAAAATAATATTTTGAAACTGGTATTTCAAATTAAGTATTGTAAAATGTTTTTTTTTTCGGTTTCTCTAGGTTGCTTTGTTCTTCAGCTCATCTCTAGGCAGCTCAGCTTTCTGATATAAGCACAACCTCTGCGTGCACACAAGCTCATCTGAAATTTGAGCGGTAAACACTCCGCGTTCGCTTCCACTGAAGGTTTATCGCTACCGTCGCAGTTAAAGGATAGCTTGGTTCGTGTATCCTTTATGTGTAAATATTTTAAACGTAACTTAATTTAATGTAAATGGAATTTAAATGAAATAAAATTAAATTGGTGCAACTAGTCAGCGTCTGCATGAGGATCATACCAGTTAACGAACTACTCTGACTCAGCATCATTGAATGAACGAGTTTTGTAGTTTTTCACTGCAGGTGACTTGCATACCTCGTATTTGTCTTGATAGTGTGTGGTGTAAGCTAAGTTATACATGTATAATATACTACATTGTGTATACATATGTAGCTATTTAGTGTCAAACATTCTTATTTAGAGGTAGGTATATGTTTTTGGGTTGACAGTGTATTTTTTTTTTTGTTAATTAATGTATTGTCAGAAAGTTACAGCAGATGATTTGCAGAAAGTAGTATCGAGCGAGTATAAAAATTTTGAAATACGTACCAATTGATTTTGCTATATTTGCATTTTTTTTGAATTTTTTAGGCAATTGAAATATAAATTAAGAAAAATCATTCGTAAAATTGTGTGTTAACCTAAAAAAAAAAATCCCTAACAAAACATTTAATTTTTTTTTACTAAAAATTTTCGCTTTAAAATATAGATTGTTTGTATGTATAAATATTTAGTTATAACTAAAATTCACTAGTTACTGCACTAACCTTAAGTAAGTAATTAAGTAAGTAAGTATGTATCTTGTTCTCTCCTATTTTATTCTGCCTTACTCTCCCTCAATACATTAGCTTCATAAAATGTATGTAGATACTTTCAATTAGATGCTTTCGTTCGGTACTTACCTTGAACAGACTGCCACAGCTTATGCGTCGACTGGCGGCCGGTGAGGAGCTTAAGAATTTCGTATGCTCTGGATCTAGATTCAACAAGTTCGGATTGTAATTGGAATGTCGACGATCCTTTTCCGCATGTTCGCGCACTGTCAAGCTGGTCGTCGCATGACTCGAATGCCGTCTCAACTCCATCGGCAGCATGCGGGCTGACAAAAGACTGGCGGCCGATGCTGCATTCACTGGCTTGATTGCGTCTCCCCGCAACGGTGTTGGCGGCCGCACAACTACACTTATCTGCGGATAGTTTGGATTTACATCATCAAAGGATTCTTTCTTACACGACTCATCAAAAGTAATGCGCTTTACATCTTGTCCGTGTCCAGATTTTTTCGGTGAGCTTAATGCTGAGCCAAGTGTTGTTGTTGTTGTTGGTTGGGTGGTATTCAGAGTGTTGGTCATGGTGGGTGTTGCCTGGGGTTGTGGGGAATCACTAGAATCTAAAAATGTCGCGGACGTCGTCTCACTTTCCGCCTGAGCCAATGTCTCAATATCGCAAATCTCAATTTTTATGGCCGTTGCTGTTTGTGTGGTAAGTTCATCATCCTCAGACTGTTGGCCACTCGAGTAGGTGGCGGTTGTTGTTGTTGTAGTCGTCGTTGTTGTAGTTGAGGCATCAATGGATAGTTGTTGTTGTGAGATAAGTATGGAGGATTTGGGTTTACGTAGGGAAGTGCGCTTTTTAGGACGCTTTTGGGGAGCGTAATTTCCGTCCGAGGGAATCCCGATAAAATTCAATTTGTGCGCGCGCATTTTTCGATATGATTTGTAAGTAATTTCGAAATAGATCGTTGCCGAACGAGGTTTGGATTTTTTATGCAGGCGATTCAAACAAAAAAAAAAACAAAAAACAAAAACAACAACAAAAAGAGGCAACAAAGTTTTGGTTTAGCATTTATACACATACACCGTCAACACCATCAACAACGTACAAGAAGTGCAAATGCACCTAACTTTCTAAAAGCATTGTAAGTATGTATGTATGTATGTAACATAACGCGCACGCATACCTACTACATATTTATGTACATATCTACATATACGAACAAGTATTACATATACATATATGCATTTGTCGCAAACTCACCTTGAAGCTCTGACGCGCTATATCATTGCCCTCCACAAATTGTGCCAGACTGCAGTAACGTGGCGGCTCACGTATCTTTTGGTCATCGCAACGATTGTCTATTTCAAAAACGATATTCTCAAAACCGAACTGCTGCGGATTCTCATCGCTATCCATGCGCGCCAATTGCGCAAAACGTGGTGGCGATGAATTTCGTCGTATGCCACGCTGTCCGCCCATGCTGAGCGATTGTTTGCGTATCGACTTCACCGGTGCCGGATGGGCATCCGAGCAGAGCATCGTTGTGTCGTCGGTAATGGTGTTGTCCTGCAGAGCGCATGTGATGTCGTGGCCCAACACTGAACTGATATCATCCATGAGCGATTCGCCTGGCACCGCTTCGGTTTCGTCGCTCGTCTCGGGCGAATCGATATGCGTGAAGGAGTTCGCATCGAGATTCTGTGGAAGTGGGAATGGGCAAGAATGTAGTTCTGGTAGGTACTAAGCAGTTCAAGAGATAATGTAATGTTTATGGAAATTTCAAAATATGAATGATGGAATTAATCCCTAATCGTATGCTAAAAATTAAATTGGTAGAAGGCAAAGAAAGGGCTCGCTACCTCCCAAAACCTGGAGCCTAATTGCGCGTGCATGGTCGGAGCCTTTCTGCGGTACATATAACGGATGTACTCCAGAGCTACTTACGAGTGAATAAAATTGGGCCTTCTAAACAGATGGACTGCAGGTTTTGTGGGCTGTTGGCCGAAAACCAAGAGCACATTCTACTCATACATTTTGAGGAATGTATATATTTTGAGGAGTGATTATATTTTCCATCCGAAATATGGAAAATAGCACTTACCAAAGCGCTTACTTCCCTAAAGAGCCTAAGGTTGGAGGAATTAAATGAGGGTTAAGCAAATTTTTTTAGGTCGCAGCGGACGTAATAGTAATTCCGCTGAATCCCTGAGTATTCTTTAGCTTGACGCTAAGCTGGAATTTTCTTTATCTTCTTGTGATCTACTTCTGGTCTCACCACATCGGTGTGTATTTGACCCAAAAACCTACTCGGGGATAAAATAACAGTAACCAAATAAACGGCACCAAAAGATCTCCAACGACACATACCGCTTGGATGATCTGTATCGACAACCGGCCAGGGTAAACACCTTGAAGGCCAGCTTTCATTTTGAGAAACCGGCTAGACTAATATCACTATGTTTTCGGATAGGTAGGCGGAGTTTAACCACAGAAACAGTGACAAAGAAACAGACTGAGCTGGAACGACGCTGACACTTATATTTTAGAGACACCGATATTTTAGAGATGTACAAAACATACTTAAATTATGGAGGGAACTTCCGCCAGTGTCCTTTGCCCAATCCTAAGTAAAGGTGACCCTGCCTTCTAAGCATAGGTTGCAAGGTTTTATCGAGCATATTGTGTGAAAGACTGAAGCCCACCATAGAAGTAGTATTGCAGCATATTAAATACAGCGGTTTCGCCATGTCCTTCGAATGGACACCGACGCTCCAGCTCGATGGAACGACCAAGTGAAGAAGGACCTGCCTTCACTTGGTATTTCCAATGGGCGTCAGTGGGCACAGACTGGCTTGCTTTTTTTAACTTGCCGAAAATAGGTTGTTACAGCGTCAATAGGAGAAGAAGAAAAGGCTGATATTGCTGGCTATCAGGTTTCGCTGAGATTGATTGCGGTCCGTGCTTCGAATGTTTTGCCTGCAATGCTAGGGTTAGAGTGTGAAAATCACTTCTCCTGCCATTGACCTCAGCCCGTTTTACGAACTATAAATCTATAATTAGGTTGTGAAGCTTCCTGTCGAATTCCATCAAACGCGAGCTCCATAAAACATAACAGGCTTAAGTATGGTGTCGAAGATCTGGGTAATAACTTTGGGTAATAAATACACCCATATTTTGCCAATGGCTCCGCTGTAGCAACATCAGACAACTTATGCCTTGTTCACTCGCTATCTATAATAAAGAACAATTATTTCACTGTATCAGAAATCTGCAGGTAAATACCAAGAGAAAAGAATTCCTACGGTTGACGACGAGTCGTGGGTGATGCTTTTTCCGCATAGGCAATCACCCTACAGCTTCTCCAAAGGGGTTGGTACGTCGTTTACGACTCCTATGTAGAGCAGAGTTTATAGAACCTCTTTCAGGTTTTTTTCCATCACAATGCAAGTTAAAAGCTGTTAGCGGTCCAGGAAGGTTCCGACTGTATAGTCTCTATGAACGAATGCTTCCTGTATTCATTTTACAATTGTTTGTAGTGCGATCACAAAAAAACTTTATTTTATTTTAAGCTTTCTGAGCCTTAACTAAATCATCCTCCCGCTTCATATGTGTCGGTCAATATTTTCTGCGTATTCAGTATAAACAAACACAGACTGATTGGCCTGATGTTTTACTTAAAATGTGAGAACTCCTTCCGGCCTACGGCGGTAAATGCCCTCTGCTGACAATCCAATATGTGGGTTGAAATCCTTCTTACGAAATTTTCGTGTATGCGATTCAGCCACCTGCGCAATAACTCAACAGTAATTTGAAACTATGTGTGAATGAAGGTAATGAACAAGTTAACCATTCAGGCCAGATTATAGCTATCCTTCAGCTTAGAAAAGGAAGCGCAAACCTCCTGCCTTGTTCTCCTATCGATAGGTTGCAAGAGAAATGTAAATAAAGGGAAAGGTATAGCGACTGCTCACGGCTCGCGGCCTTAATTCCTGGCTTGTATCTGAAGTAACCCAAGGGAGCAATTAGCTCCTCTTCACCCATTTAGTTTGTAACATGATAAATTGCCTGTCCGGTTCCATGAGGAAGGGGGTTTAGGCAATGAAAAATGCGCTCTAATACTTTAATGCTTTAACACTTTAGAGGATACATTTAAATGCGAAGAATTGAAATCAAGAATTGATGTCACTTTTGGTTTCCAATATTTTCAAGTTGCTGAAAAGGTAAGTATCATTGGGAAAAGAGGGAGGGAGGACCAATCTAACTACAAAACGTTAAACGAGGTGTAACCAGATTTTATTTTTATTTTGAAAAGGTTCGCCACTTATATTAATTTAAAATATTTTAAATATAAAACTTCAACTGTTCAAACCTGTATAATGTCGCCCAGTTGTAATGGATGATCAGCCTCTTGCACCTCAGGTTGCCTGTCGAATATCTCTGAGGCTACACTGCATTCCTCATCACCAATGGCCGATAGGACATCACTCGCCTCACCGCCTGGCAATTCTTCTGATGATGACTGCTCCTGCGTAAAAACAAAAACGCAATAGAAATACCAATTTATTAGTTCATAAATCCACACCTCATCATCGAATAAAAAATAGCCGTACAATACGTACAGTGGGTACATCTGTGTCAATGATTGTTATGCTTTCGCTTGAGTATACATTTGGGGCTTTAAGGGATATGGCTACGTTCGGTACCTGCAGTTGACAAGCCACATCACCGAAACGCAGCTCCTTAACCTTTTCCGGCACTGTTTGCTCCTCCTTGTCGCATTCGTTTTTGTGCTCGTCCTCTGAAATCGCACTTTGCTTTCGTTTCTTTTCCATATCTAATTCACGACTCATATAATAGTTGCGTTCGAATACCTCAATAGGACGATAATCCGAGAGTGGATCTACAATCTGTTCGCCAGTTAGTATTGGTACGCTGAGAAAGTCAATTTTGCGTTCAGTTGGCGAGCTAACATCACCGCCGTCTCCTACCATGGGCAAGCGATTGCCGTAGTCATCAATATTGGCACCGCCACTAAGCGATAACCTACCGACACGATAGACTATCTCCGTATGGCCGTTCTGGCCATTTTCCTCTATCTCTTGTATAACTTCGGGTACGCCTGAGCTGCGGCGACTGTCTGCAAATTGACGCGGTACAGGTAAGCTAATCGAATTGAAGAAATTTTCGTCGACTGAGTCGCGACGCGTATCGGGCAGTGGGGATATGCATGTGAGGCGAGAGCTTTCCATAGTGGGCGAGATAATGTTGATTGGCGGTATGATAGGCAGCGGCGAAGAGCAAGGCGTCGACTCACCCGAAGCGCTGGATGGTATTTTCAAAGCCTCGTAGGGCGTAATGGAGAGTTTACGTTGGTAGCGCTTGGGTCGGCCTGGTTCCGAGTGTTCGACAACATTGTACATGGCGCGCTTGACACTATTGGCGCGACATTGCAACGATTCACGTTCAGTCGAGCGCAGCGAACGGCTATTCCGACGCTCATTTGTATTGAATTGATCCTTTTCGTTTTTCTCGATTGATATGTTTGGATTACTTAAAAAACAAAAAAAAAAAAAATATGACAATTGATTAGATCTTAACTTAACTGAAATCTGTCAACTTCCACTTACAGCAGTGAGGAAGATGGCGAGGGCGTAGGCGAGGCAGTTGGTG